CAGGTGGCCATCTTCTGCAGGCCGGGTGCCAAGCCCATGATCAGGCCACTGGTTGGCTACCTGGAGGGATGAGGCATCTGTTGCTGCCTGAGAACCAGCTGTCGGTTCTGCCTTCTCCCTGTCTCAGGTTCGGCAAGGTCACAGGATACAAGATAAGCAAACTAAACTCAATCCTATTTCTATATACTGGCAATAAACACATGAAGACTTAAATTAAAAATAGAGTTCCATTTACAATCACTCAAATAAAATGAAGTGCTTAGGTATAAATCTAACAAAACATATAAAACTTGTATGACGGAAGCTACACAGCACTGATGAAAGAGATCAAAGAAAGTCTAAATAAATAGAAAGACATACTATGCTCATGGATTGGAAGACTAAGTATAGTCAAGGTGTCAATTGTCCCCAAATTGATATATAGGCCTAATGAAATTCCTAGCAAAATCCCAGCAAGATTGTTTTTAGATGTAAGATCACTTTTAAGTTTATATGGAAAGGCAAAGGAATAAGAACAGCTGAAATACTTTTGAAAAAGAACAAAGTGGGAGACACGATATAGCTACAGAAATAAAGATTGAAGCATTGTGAGAGAGACAGACATATAGATCAATTAAACAGAATAAAGAACCCAGACATAGATCTAAACAAATGTGCCCAATTGGTTTTTGCCAAAAATGCAAAACAATCCAATGGAGAAAAGATAACCTTTTCAAGAAATGATGCTAGATAAATTGGACATCCATAGACAAAAAAAAAAAAGAAAGAAAGAAAGAAAAGAAAAGAAAATCTTGGCCTGTCTTAAATCTTACATAAAAATTAACTCAAAATGGATCACAGACTCAAATGTAAAACATAAAACTTAGGAAAAAAGGGAGAAATCTTTGGATTCTGAGGCTGCCTAAAGAGTTTGTAGACAACACCAAAAGCATGAACCATAAAAGGAAAAATTGATAAATAAGACTTCATCAAAATCAAAAACTTTGCTTCCGGGCCGGCCCCGTGGCTGGATGGTTAAGTTCCCACGCTCTGCTTCGGTGGCCCAGGGTTTCACCAGTTCAGATCCTGGGCACGGACCTAGCACTGCTCATCAGGCCACGCTGAGGCGGCGTCCACATAGCAGAAGTAGAGGGACCTACAACTAGAATATACAACTATGTACTGGGGGGCTTTGGGGAGAAGGAAAAAAAAGGAAGATTGGCAACAGATGTTAGCTCAGGGCCAATCTTAAGGGAAAAAAAAAACAACTTTGCTTTGTAAAAGACCCTGTCAAGAATATGAAAAGACAAGCTACAGACAAGGAAAAAATGTTTGCAAAACACAAATCTGAAAAAGGCCTAGTATGAGAATATATAAAGAACTCTCAAAACCCAACAGTAAAAAAACAAACAGAAATGCTTAAATTAGAAATCAGAAAATGAGTAAAACACATGAAGAGATGCTTCACTGGAGAAGATATACAAATGGCAAATAAATACATGAAAAGATATTCAACTCCAGAGAATTATGCTGAGTGAAAAAGCCAAACCCAAAAGCTTACTACTATATGTTTCCATTTACATAACATTCTTGAAGAGACAAAATTATAGAAATGTAGAATTATTAGTGATTGCCGGGGGCTAAGTAGGGAATAGGGGCAGGAGGGAAGCAGTTGTGGCTGTAAAAGGGCAACTTGAGGGTCCTCATGGTGACGGAAATCTTCTGTATCTCGACTGTATCAATGTCAATGTGCTGATTATGATATGGTACCACAGTCTTACAAGATGTTACCCTTGGGGAAAACTGGGTAAAAAATAAATACACAAGATTGCTCAGTATTATTTCTTACAACTGCATGCGAATCCACAGTTATTTCAAAATAAAAAGTTTAGTTAAAATTTTTTAAATAAATAAAGAAGATAAAAGGTACAGCATTGAAGGAAAACACAAGTTGGCATAATAGATTAAACGCAGTTTCTGCTAACTGTAATATATGGCTTCTACTTTCTGTTTTATTTTCAAAATATTAAAACCCTTTTCTTCAGGATAAAGCAACAAAACATAGTAAGAGAGAACTTTTGGAAAGGCATTGCAGACCAGTGGGTTAATTGTAACACAGAAAGTGTTGAAAGTTATAGTAGAAAAGGACGTAAATAAAAGTGAGAAAATAGACCACGGAGCCAGTGGAAGTGGAGAAATCCCACTCAACCAATTACCTTTGGCCTGTGTGCCTGTAAGGCCTGTAAGAGATATTTATCACAGATAAAAGAACAGAAGACAATTTTTAATGAATAGATTCAAATGGAGAGAGAATAGAGAAGCCAAACTTCAGATTGGTGTTTGATTTTCAAAATCTTTTCTATTCTTGGCCTTCACACTTTTTTGAGCGATTCAGTTTTGCAACTTGAACATTGCAGTTAATTCCTAAGATTATGGAAGACAAAAGTAAAACAGGCTTCCAGGTTTAGAAAATGTGTTGCTTTCAAAGAAATGCTTTAAAAATTTTACAGTCAGCCTAGGGGAAAAAAATTACCATTGATCCTTAAAAAAAAAAAAATCACCAACCCTTTCCCAGCCGTACCAATCATAGATATGATGCATCTGATAAAACTTAGTTTAAATAGTGCATTACTCATTAGTCACAAAGTGTCTCCTTTATTTGTGACTTTGCTAAAGCTTAACATGGCTTCTTTTAGGCCAATGGTGCAGCATTTATTCACATTGCAATTTGTGTGGTGGAATTTTCTCTCAGAAACGCGACAAAACCTGTCACAAAAGTATCTATAAATTCATTCCAACAGACTTCATGAAATATCATCATTAAAGGAAAAGCAAGTATGCCCTTAAAAGCAAGAAAATAATTGTGTCATAAATGACACAATTAAGAACTCAGCCACAGTAGGGGAACAAGGCAAATTGAAGAAAAAAATATTCAGTAACATTATTTTGATTCTACAGAGATAAGACAGTCTAGCACACAACAGTTTAATTTCTAGCCTCAATTTAGCCTCTAAATAAAGCAAATAATTTTAATCAATCAGGAGAAATTTCTCATCACGTGGTAGGATCAGATAAACCTGAAAGATTCGGGTGACCTGATTCATGGCCATTCATTATTAATAAGCCATAGTAGAAAATTTATGTTCCTTATCCTTTCACATATTTCCAAATAAATAGAGACTAATAAACAAGTCAAGAAAACGGAATAGGCTTGGACTTTGCCCTGCATGGCTATTATGTGAGTAAAAAGAAAAGTTGACTATGACTCAGGTAATTTTTAAAATTCTATTTTCTTAATTACTGTTATTTTGGGCTACTTATTAAAAAGAAATCTAGTGAAAAAACCATCAACATGTACACGTTTAGTTGTCTCCCACATAAAGAAGTCTGGAGGTGGGCAGTCTAGAGCTGGACGGAAGTATCACAGATAACAGACAGTTTCCTTATAACTTTCTGCTCCACCGTCCTTTGCACGTGACTTGCATGGCTGTATCAGTTAGGGCTCTTCAGAGAAACAGAACCAATAGGATGTGTGTGTATATACCCACACAGAGAAAGAGAGAGATGTTAAGGAATTGCCTCATGTGATTGGGATGGCTGGAAAGTCCAAAATCTGTAGAGTAGGCTAGCAGGCTGGAGACCCAGGGAAGAGTTGATGTTTCAACTCAAATCCAAAGACAGACTGCAGACAGAATTCCCTCTTCCTTGAGGGACATCAATTTTTTTCCCTTTTATGACCTTTAACTGATTGGATGAGATCCACCCACATTACAGAGGGTAAGCTGCTTTACTCAGTCTACTGATTTGAATATTACTCTTACCAAAAAAATACCTTCACAGAAACATCTAGATTAGCGTTCTACCAAATATCTGGGTAGCATAGCCTAGTCACACAAAATTAACCATTACAATGGCCTAATGAACGAATATAGCTGCTGAAACTCAGTCATCATGCCTCATTCCAAGAAGCAGGAAAGAGATAGTGGGCAAGGGCAAAGGGCACATGACAGTGTCTACTTCTCTTAAGGAATTTTCCTAGAAATCTTAATCAACAACTTCTGCTTGCTAATCAGTGACTAGTCTTCGTTGCAAAATAGTGTGGAAATTTAATATTTTACTTGGGTAAAGTAGTAGTCTGCCAAATTGACCAATTCTGATAATTCAGGCTCCAGAGTGAATCTTTGTGTTTATCCTGCTTGGGGTTCGTACCACTTTTTATATTTGTGGCTTGATATCGTCCATCAGTTTCAGGGAACTCTCATCATTATTTAAATATTGCTTCTGCTCTATTCTCTCTTTCCTCTCCTGGCACTCCAATCCCACGTGTTTTAGATATTTTCATTATGTTCCTTTGTCTCTTACATTTGATTTTGTATTTTCCATACTTTCTCCTCTTGATTTTTCACTCTGGATATTTTCTTCTGATCTGTCTTCTAGTTTCTTAACCTCTTCTTTGCTCTATCTAACGTGCTCTCAAAACTACCTATTGAACTCTTAATTTCAAGTATTGAAATTTTCAGTGGTAAAACTACTGTTTAATTTTCTTTCATGGTTTCCACTTCCCTGCTTAAATCTTCCACTTTGTTATCTACTCTATTGAACATATTATTTTGTGTCTGCTACCTCAAATATCAGGATATGTTGTTGATCTATATCTATTGTCTGGGTTTTTTCTTAATTTTTGATGATTTGCTTTTGTCTGCTGGCATGCCTGTTAAATTTTTATTGCATGCCAGATATCGAGGATAAAAAACTATAGAGCTAATTTGAGGCTCTGTGTGATATTATAGTCCTCCAAAGATTATTTGCTTTTGTTTCTAACAGATATTCAGAGTAAGAACAGATCACCTTAATCCAATCGAGAGTTGAGCTGGCATGAGAAATGATTTTGGTTTTTGTGAGGGTTCTCTATTTCTTTTTCATCCTTAGTTTTGGATGCAATCTTTTGGGATCTCAAATGAAAGCCTGGAATGTTTACAAGAGTACCTCCTTCGTGGTGGGTCCCAATACTGTTCCTTTACCTGTGTAACAGTGGTAGAAACTCAGCCTCTCCGCCACATTTTCTGCTCACCCTCTTCATGTTTCATCCTCCACATGTGAATCACCTAAGGCCCGGAGAGAGAAATTGGTAACAAGAGTTAGGTTCATTTTCGCGTTTCTGTTCTCTCCAGCACCTCGGCCCCTCAACCTATCTCTGTCTTGTTAACTCTCAGATGCCTCTAAAGATATATATTTTTAAATTTTACCCATCATTTCTAAATGTTGCCACTTGAAGATCTGATCTGCAGTTCAGCATTACCAGAAGTGTCCTGATTGATGACTTTTGAAGAATTGCCCCAGAGGGAATCATAATCTCCCACAACCTACTTTTGTCAAATTGACTCACCGATTGCCAAATCTCCACTTCACTCGTGCTATTTAAACAGCCTGTCCCACAGACTGCAAGGTGTTTAGGACATTGAGACATTTTTCTGAGTTAATAGAGAACAAAAGGCGTTACCTATATGCCAAGTTGTTATAGTGCACTAACTAACCTGAATTCATTTTCAAATAAATAATTGTATCCTAGGTATAAACTTTCATCTTACTTTGTGTCTGAGAACTCCAGTTTGTTCCAGACACAGAGATGTTTATATTTTAGCAATGTGTGGAATATAAAATGATCTGATACTTCTAAAATAGCACTCAGATTACTTCATTTATCCACTCCCTCTCACATGCCCGGCATCGTGCTTTGAGTTGTGAAAAAAAGATTACAGAACCACAGAACTTTAGGTCTGAAAGAAACTTAGAGATCATCTAATCAGATTCATTCATTTCATTGAAGACTTATTTGTTCCAAAACAAGAACTTTGGCTTCTTAACTCCTGTTTATTGCTCTTTTCATGATGAAGTGCTAGTTGTTGGTTTAAAAAAAATGATTCCTCTTTATCTCTCTCCCCTCGTCCACTGTAGACCCAAAATTTTGCAAGACTTTACTAAATAAAACGTACTTCTGAAATGATGATTCACATAATGCTAATATAAGAAAAGTGCAATTTTTCTATCAGATTTTTTTAAATAATGAACATAGGTCAAAGGAAGACCCAATATTACCTTCAGGAAATTAGTAGTATAAGAAATTGTCTCTTCCCACCAGAAGTTTGCAATCTGTGTGTAGAAAGACATATAAATAAATGATCATACTGTAAGGTAGTATATGTTATACTAGAGATGTGATACACACATAAATCAAGTGTAGTTATGTAATATATTCATATATGTGATATATATGATTAAAGTGGTCATGTTATGTCTTCCTCCTCTGATATACTAGGGGCTCCTTAAGAGTAGGAATTATAGCTTTTCATTGTCAGTCTCAGCTTGTGGTCTGCACTATAGCAAACTCTTAAATGAATAAGATCCTTCAAATCATGTAACTGGTCAAGACAATAAATGCTCTAGGAATTCTCAAGAAGATAGAAAATTCTGAACTAGGATCATTGAGTAAAAACATCATGAAGATGCAGTTTGAGGCAGATGTCTGTTGCCATTTGAGCTAAAGTGGATAGGATTTTGGTAGACTGCAATATGGGGTAGGATGTTGTGTGAGATTCCTATTGCTGCTATAACAAATTACCATAAATCTAGTGGTTTAAAACAACACCAATTTATTGTCTTATAGTTCTGGAAGTCAGAAGTCTGAAATGAGTCTTACAAGGCTAACATCAGTGTTTTGACAGAGTTTTGTCCTTTCTAAAGACTCCAGGAGAGAATCTCTTTCCTTGCCTTATCCGTCGTCTAAAAGCCACCTGAATGGGGCCTCTTCCTCCGTCTTCAAAGTGCATCACTGGACCCTCTGCTCCTGTCATCACGTCTCCTTTTGCTGCCTTTGATCTTCTTGCTCCCCTCTTATAAGGACCATTGTGACTACATTGGGCCCACCCAGATAATCCAGGATCATCTCCCTATCTAAAGATCCTTAATTTGATCACAGCTGCAAAGTCCCTTTTTGCCATGTAAGCTAACATATTCACAGGTTCTAGAGAATAGGATGTAGACATATTTCGAGGGCTGTTATTCTGTCTACCACAGACGTTTCAAGCAAAGGTCTAATGTAGTGGTCTTCAAAGTGTAGTTCCCTGAACCAAAAGCATCAGCATCACCTAGTAATTTGTTAGAAATGCAAACTCTCAGACCTCATTGCAGAGCTACTAACCAGAAATTCTGGTGACGCCCAGCAATCTATGCTGTCATGAGTCCTCCAGGTGATCTGATGCAGCTAAACCTCTTTGAAAGCCATGCTCCTAGAGTTTAGAGAAAGGCAAAGCAGGGCCAGAGGGCTGTGAGTGAATGGATTTCACAGGAATAAAGGAATCCTCGAGCATAAGAACACTGAGACCACACAGATGGAATCAGAGTAGGGCGAGCCTGGAATCTCAGGGAAGGGGCACATCACCTGTAAATTTCTGGCTCCAAATGTGAATTTGGTCACCTTCTTACACATTTCACGAAATGAATCACCTAACTGAAAAATCTGCCTTCATTTCACGAGGCACAAAATTAATCTGTTCAAATTCACAAATTCAACAGACTGACCTAGAAAAATAATTTCTCTTATTTTTAAAAATGTAAATCAAAACTCTATGATAAGGATTTACAGATTAAAGACAGAATTTTTTACATGCTAAAAATAATTAAACTACAGAACTATTCAAAAGATTAGTTAATAATATTTTCATTTCAGAAAGTCTTCCTCGAATTAGCTGTAACAATAGCTATAATTCATCAGCAATTTTACCATTTTCGTTTTTTCCTCTAACAAGCAGCACAGGGAGGAATTTTAACAACCGTGTTATCTCTAGAAGGCTAGGCCCTCCGAAGAATCGCAGGTGACTTCCCATGAGGGTTGATTAAGAGCAGAAGACAATTGCCTTTCCAAAGGCAGAGAAATGGGGCCATTTAGAATTGTGCTCTCCTAGAGGCAAACAGGAAACAGGAAGCTCTCTGTCAGCCATTCTTACGCTGCCCCCAGAGCAGGAAACACAGTAGGAGGGGCCATATCAGTTACTTTGACCCAGACCAGGAAACAAAATTCAGTCTGTGGACCTGGGCTGGTAGGTAGAGTGCTGACAGTATCTGCAAGCCAATAACTCTCTCTAACAGCCAGATTAACATCCATTCAGTGTCAATACTGAGGAAATGAAAAGGAATACATATTCAAAACACATTAATTAGGCTTTAAATGAAAACAGAGATAACAGTTTTGTCAAGCAGCAGTAAACCAGCAGGAGACGAGCTACATTTCATCTCCAAGTTTTTTTTGGGCCCAAAACTCCTCTGGGTGAACATCACCCTAAATCACCATAGCACTCAACTGTAAGAACTCAAAAGGAGCATAAAAGAGAAGATGAACCACAGCCCCACCTAGCAAATATAACAACAATAAGAGAAGCTAGCCCGTGCTTCTATCAACATGTATGTTGCTGTACGTAACCTGCTGGGCTTGGTATAATAGTGTACCTACAGCTTGGAAAATTTGTTAGCATTTCTTCACAAAATTTAACAACACTCCAGAATGAACCTGAGTTTAGAAATAGAAGAGAGTTAAGTGTTGACTATGCCAAAATATATCAATCTATAAATATCACCACGATTAAACACTTTAAAACTTCTCTTCAGGGCACTGAAAAGGATCTACTTTATACAGATACAGTATAAGGGGTCTGTGCTTTGACATAGTATTTTTAGAACAAAAAGGAGAAGGCAAGTCAAGCATCAGGCGCTGTTAAGTAACTTAAATGCCAGTTTTGACGGCCACCAAGTCAAGCCAGCTGATCATATGACTTAAGATGGTTCCAAATGTACACTGCCTCCAACCTTCTCCATCAGTTACCCAAAGAAGAACACACACACAGTTTCAGTCACTTGAGACCCTTTCTCATTCTACCTCTGGAATGCCCTCACTTCTGCCTCCCTCCATTCCCCATGCCTTACTTGTGGCTCCAATCAACTCCCTCTCTGGAATCCTTGAAACCTGGACAAGAAGGCCTGAACTCCTTCAACACAGTAGGTCAAATGTCCCTCCTGTGTGCACCTCATTCTCCCAAGAAAAATCAGTGGTTCCCTCATCAATGTACCATATCACTTTCTTTTAGTTTTAACATAACCATTGTATAAAATTATTTAATTGTGATATAACTTACATAAAGGACACAAATCTTAAGTCTACAGCTTGATGAATTTTTATATATGCAGACAACCTGTAACCACCATCCAGCTCAAGATCTCAAACATTCCAGCAGCTCAGCAAACTCTCTTGCACCCCCTCTCCGTCAATACTTTGCCACCCAAAGGTAACCACTGTTCTAACCTCTATCACACTAGATTAATTTGCCTGTTTTTAAATTTTACATAAATGGAATCCCACAGTATGTACTCTCTTGTGTAGTATTCTAATTTATGAATATATCACAATTTATCTATTCTTCTGTGAATAAATATTTGGGGACTATTATGAACAAACTTGCCATGAACATTCCTGTATGCATCTTTTTGTGGACACACGCACTTATTTCTGTTGGGCATATACCCAGCAGTGGGATTGCTAGTCATAGGGTACATATATATGTATATATTTATGTTTTCCTTGAGTATATACCGCTAAACAGTTTTCTAGAGCGGCTGTACTTACCACTTCCTACATCTCTGAATTATTCCAATAATTATGCTCTTGTATTGTTAGTTCTTTATGTGTCCATTCCCCAATTGCACTTGAGCTCCTTGAACACAGATCCCGCTGTTGCTTTATCCTGTATGCCCAATAAATAAAAGATTGATGCATTCATAGAGCATGGTCGGGGAGGAGGGTTTAGGAATCTTATGTTTACCTTTCTTCTGGACCCAGCCGGAGCGTGACACAGACCCATCCTAGCCCTGTCAACACCTCAGTCACACAAAGTGAGGTGGAATATTCAAATCGGTTCCCGGCATTCCCCAGTCCCCACTGAATTGCCCAAAAGCCCAGTTGCTTCTCTCTACCTGGTATTAGTTGGTTTTAAACTTGCTGATATGTATTTGATCCATCATTAAACTGCTGGAAAATTTAATAAGCTAGAAAATCTCCAAAGTTCAACTCCTTTTTTTTTTTTTTTTCTGTAACTTCGTGCAGATCCTTCTGAAAGGTACTAAGGAAACTGTGCTTATTAACTATCTATCCTGCCTTCTAAGGTGGAATCAATTAGTGCCGAAGTCCTCCCCCTCAACCTGGAGAGAGAAGAGGCCTCCCAGAGAAACACTGCAAAGATGCATGCCCCTTGATCTGTTTGTGCAGATGGCGAGGATTAGTTACACCAACACGTGGAGAGAAGATGGGATTACGGAGGAAGTCCTCCAGCTCTTCTGAAAGTGAATTTCTGGTCCTTCCTGTTTTTGCTTCTGAGTCTTAAATTTTTCACTGTTCTTATATTTCTGGGAGCGTCATGGCACGGACCACTTTCTGCTCCTTTTCACAGGGATTGCTTTCTGCATTTTGATGTCACTTCTAATAAAACATTAGCTCCAGACAGCTTCAGCGACCACATCCAAAAGAAGCCCTCTGCAACCCTGAAACCACAGCCCTCCCTGAGCTGGAAGTAAAATAAAACTCCTAGAGATAAGGTTTATAGAACTACGCAAAATGGAAAATACTTATTGCTATTATTTTCTTTTATCCCAAGAGGTAAAATTAAAATGTCTTTTTGATTTTAAGTAAGGATTTTCTTTTAATTGGGGAGAAGCTCCATATGTCTGAGTCACTTGCTATTGCAAACCTATTCACTAGGAGAGGTTTCATGGGGGAAATCCTGATCTGGCAGCAGGCAGCCATTCTGTGAAATAGAGGCAGCTCATTCTTCCATCTGAAGAGATGCCTCTAAAATGAGTCCAACACTTAAGTATTTCTGAAACTCCCTAAGGCTTTCCACCAGCCTGCACCTCCCGCTGGCCCCCTCAAAATCACAGTTAGTAAAATGACTGCTATTGGAATTCACTGAAACTTGGCAAAGATTGTTATTCATCCTGGGCCAGGGTCAACTTACCATTGGCAGAGCAGGATCCCCAGCGTAATAATCTGGCTGCTTCTTTAGGAAAACCTCAGGCACCTCGGGCAGTTTAAGTAGTTATTTTTCCTGGGACATTTTTAAAGATTTTACAAATGTACCACCCATTCCCCCCTGCCAAGTCACCATGCCACTTATCCCTCAGGACTGCCAATAGAGATGGCATGTAAGCTCCAACTCAAATATGCCTTCTTATTTAAATATCAACAAATGGTGGCAAAGGGAATATAGATATTTGTGGAGGAGGATGCATTAATTATCGTTTAAAGTAAAATACACAATTTGTAGTTGTCTGAATGTTTCCTACAATTTCTAGCCCAAGGAACCTCTCCCTCTTGAACCTCTTTTATCTTAGATCTTGATTCCCCTCGTCTCTTTCTTTTGCACCTACCTCTATCTTTTGTTCTCCCTCTTTTCCCCCAACACACACATGCACACTCACGCACACTCTTCTGCATTGGAATGCTTGTCCCCACATCACCACGACACCACATCTAACTGATGTCGTTGAACTGAACAACCTCAGGATGTACACCACCTCAAGATAGATGCCTGGACAATCTCAGGATATATAATTCTCAAGTGAACCCAACACATTCACTTCATGCAAGTACCAAGCTGTACCAAGCAAGTACCCCCTTTGCTCTTCTTTACACGTCTCTTCCAGGTCCAAGGTACAAGGAGACAGCAGCGTTCACACTGTCACCTCGTGACTCAGCCATGGAATCATCACAATTCAACCAGGCACCATGTTTCAAAAATAAATTTGACATAGAAATGTTAAAGTAACAAGAACAACACTAATAATAGGGATAATAATGATGATTATAATAAATTACACATAATCCTACCCCACAAATACTAGTTTTATTTTGCATATTTAATACCACAAAATTGAACATATGTGCACATTAATTTTACATTCATCTTTTTCCACTTAACATTATGCTAAACATTTTCCCATGTTTCTGCACAGTCTTATTTCATTTTTATAATGACTGCCCAAAGTTTTTACCTAAAATTCACCTAATTTCATCATCACTAATGTCAACTGGATATCTTATCAATTCTAAGACTACATTTCTAAGCTGCACAACTTGATATACAATAAAAGTAAATATATCAAAATATTAATAAGTGGTTGCTCTAGGGGATGGGATACTGCATGATTTTTCTTTTTTCTGTTTTTGTGTCTTTTAAATTTTCTATAATGAACACGTACCTTCTATTTTAAAACTTTATTTAATGATAATAATAATAGCTATCACTTATCAAGTGTTGACTAGGTAGCAGGAACTCTTCTAAGTCCTTTACATAATACTCAACCTGATAATACTTAATCCTTATCACAACCCAAAAAAGTAGATCTTATTACTATCCCCATTTTACGGATGAGCAAACTGAGCCACAGAGCAATTAAAGCACTTGCACAAAGTTATAGAGCTAGTAAGCAGAGTAGCAAGGATTTTAACTCAGGCGGTCCAACTCCAGACTCTACACCCTCGCCCTATATGCTCTACTTTAAAAAAAAAATAAAGGATGCTTCCTAAATACATTTAAGCTGTCACCATTTTACAATAGTCCACTGGCTGGCTTCCCATTGCAATGGAATTACATTCAGCTTTTGATATTTTGAGATTGCTGTGTGCCCAATGTTGCACCTTCTCTGTTATCATCGCCATCCCCATCAACCCTAATACCACCATCATTTAGAAACGTTTATTAAGCTTTTAGTGTGTGCAGAACACTGTACTAGGCACTTGGGGAAATACAAAGTATGTGAAACACGTGTTCCGTGCTCTTGAGAATACGAGAACTAGTCTGAGAAAAGCTTTAAACTGAAAGAAGTAAGTAGCCATGGAATATGAATCGAGAATTTACATAATATCTGGAAATTATAGGCAAAAAATAAAAGCTACTTCCACCTGAAATACAAAGGTAATTGAAGATAGTGCATAATTGAGGGCTTTTATTTATTTAGGATAATAGTTTCAGATCCCCTTTCCACCCTACACATATAGACATAAAGTTCTACAGAGAAAAAAAAAATAAAGATTAAAGTCAGCTGTATATACTACCCTACTCCTTTATGATATTTTCAGCCTGGACCACATAATCCCCTAGTTCTTATGTCAAATTAAAAGTAACTATTTTCATATGTAATTATGTACAACAAATGTAATGAAATAAGATTCTGGCCCTTTATTTTCCAAAATATTCTGAACACCATTAGTAAAGGGAAGTTTCTAGTTCTGATCAGCAGATACTAATTGCAAATATGTTAAACAGATTGCAATTCTAAAATTAAGTAATGGCTCCACCAATTTATTCAAATGAACATGCTTGGCTCATGTAACCTATCATGCATTTTTCAAACCTACCTGTTTTATTTTGGATAGTATGCTAAAAGTACACATGTATTTTTGAAGAATAAAAGCCTTCCATCTTGTACTAATTAAGAATTTCTTTTTAACTTTATATATGTATATTCACCTTTAAATATATTAAAACCAAACTGATAAAATGAGACTTCAAGGATGTCCTTAAGAAACTATTTTAGGGGCTGGCCCTGTGGCTGAGTGGTTAAGTTCGTGTGCTCTGCTTCAGTAGCCCAGGGTTTCACTGGTTCAGATCCTGGGCACAGACCTAGCACTGCTCATCAGGCCATGCTGAGGTGGCGTCCCACATAGCACAACTAGAAGGACCTGCAGCTAGAATATACAACTGTGTATTGGGGGGCTTTGGGGAAAAGAAAAAAAAAATGAGGAAAATTGGCAAGAGAGGTTAGCTCAGGGCCAATCTTTAAAAAAAAAAAAAAGAAACTGTTTTAGCAGATAATAAAAATAATTTGTAGGTAGTATATAAATTGTATATAAAATGTTTTTCTAAAACACTTGGAGGTGCTTAATTATGATTTGTGCTCTCAAGCACTTTAATTATCTTCATGAGATCTTGTTTAGACTATTCAATTATTTGGCAATCCTTTTCTTCATAGAAAATCAAAAGTAAACGTCCATGACTTTGGAATCCATGGTGCCCAGTCAGTGAGACTGTCTTCAGATGAGAATGAACCCCCAGTCTCAAGGCTTCTCCATCATTCCTCAACTCTGACTTCGTAGGTACCCTTGACCTTGGGTCCAGGGAAACATTCCCAAGTGAGGCCCTTATTTGGAGCTGATTTATTTTCCTTTTTGATCACACCAGTATTTTTTCCCTAATATTTTATTTTTGCTGTGACTGCTTCATCAATCTATGCAGCCGGCTTCTCATTTATTTCATTTGTAAATCCTACCCAATAACGTCTTTCACGTTTCATAAGTATTAAAATACAGTGATGCCTTTAATTAAAGAAGTTTCCTTTCTGTGAAAAACTGAAAGCATTTTCACGTATTCTGTTATTTTTATAGTAATTTTTAAGCTTTAAAAATCTGGGGAATATGATGTCTCTTATGGAGATAAAGTTAAAGAATAAAAACAAAAAACTCCACTGTTTACAATGAGCCCTCATAAAGTCTGCGCCCTCTCACTTATTAGTCAAGACCTTCCATCACCTGACCCCTGACATGCCTTCCTAATCTTACCTTCCACTCCTTCCCCAAACTGTTCTCTTCGGTACTGAAGTTCCAGCCATTATTCCAGTGTCCTCACCTGTAAAATGGGTTAATAATCTTTATTTCTACTTGTTGCTATATAAATTAAGCATGAACTCACCCAGCACAGAGGCTAGCACACCATAGGTGTTCAAAAAATAGGAGGAGGCATAGGAGGCAGACAGAGCTGGGCTTGAGTCTCAGAGAACTTCTCACGGTAACATCATTACTCTCTCTGAGCCTCAGTTTCTTCATTTGTAAAATAGAGTTATACTATTAGATAGGGTTCCACACAAAGCACCTTGTACACAACCTGGCACAGAGCAGGCTCAAAGTGAACACGTGTTATGAATGAATAACGAATGCTATTACCCTCCATGTAAAGCAAGAGAAATAGACATAGATTTCCAGAGATTCACTTTAAATCCGCTGAGATCAGTTCACCTCTCCAAACCAGAGAACATGTGCTCTTGGAAGCAGAGGCAAAGCAATTTCACTGGAATTGCCTTCCAAAATTTATTCCAGAGCTCAGCCGCGCTCAGAATAGCTGATCTGAAACCTGGCTGCCTGTGAGAACAGTGTTTGGGCGCAGTGAAAAATGAACAGCGAGCTACCTTGGCAAAAGCTGGCCTGGCCAATTGCCTGAAACAATAATCAGACACAGATTAATCCGTTTATAACGTTTGCTAGGGCAATTTTTATCTCTAATGGACACTGGGGTATAGACCTTCTACCCTAGGTCAGCTCTCCAGGGAGAATGGGAGATAACAAGGCTAAACAAAGTAAAAGATACCTCCTTGTTTTTTGAAATAAATATGAAACATTACATTCACTTCTTTTTAAGCTTAGACTCAGGAACATAAGAGTTTACGTAATAAACACAACAGAGTCTTAAAACGGAAACAGCAATCCCTACTGGAGTCCAGAGAGACAGAGATTTAGTATCAAGAAGCAGAGGAAAGGGTAAACCACAAGTCAACCGAGGAAGGAAAGAGTCAGAGGAAAAGAGAAACCAACTGAGGGAAGGAGAAAGAGACCAAACGAGGAAAAAAGAAAAAAGTAACGACCATGGAGCCTCAAAGGAAATAATCAATTCATCTGAGAAAGGGGTGAAGTTCTCATTGCTGAAGAATCAGATCCAACAGGGAAAGGAAAGAAAATTAACTTACTGAGCACCTGGGGCCCAGAGCTGGGCACTGGCACACTTGTAACTATGACTCCCGTATTTCAGATGACGAAAATAAACAATGACTAAATAAACTTTACGGGAGATTAGAACAAAAATTCAGCCAAGACTGACAACATAAGAAAAAAGAAGACAAAGAAATAACTCCACCATCATTTCATTTGACCCTCATTCGTGGTCTTTATCTCATCAGCAGGGTGTCAATGAGAAGGTCTCTAATCAGATACAGTTGTGGGAGTGAATGCCTCAGCTCTCCCACTTGTAGGGAAAGCCAAAGATCCTTTCTAGTTCATCTTTGTATTCTAGAGCAGTGGCTGAATTTAGCTGAATTTAGTGGAACAGGTTACACATTACTAAACAATGTTCGTATTCACTTTTTTATAATAACAAACAAAATTTCAAGTCTTCGACACGGCAAACCCTCACCTTTCAGTCAAGTACCCCTGAAAATATCCAGCTTCCTCTCCTACCTTTGGCTTCCTGCCATGAGGGGTTGATGCCATCAGGATTAATAAAGCTAACAGAATTGCTCTTGCAAAACAATGGATGGAGGGAAACAACCCTCCAGGAGCATTGTATTATCTAAACCCCTTGTCATATTTAGTGCCTGGCATCCTTGGTTATTTTCTCACAAGACTACGTCTAGTTCTTCAAAATGAACTGTGTCTTGTTAAGTCTTTTTCCTTTCATGTATCCCTCAGGCAGGCCTTACAAACTCCAGGTGTTCAATAATGCTTCATTGATCCTAACAGTCTAACAAAGAGTTTAGAAATGCCCTCTTTGTCTGCTTTAAAAAAATTAAATTATCCTCTTCATTCTCCAAGTGTTTCTCGAACTCAACCTTTTTTAAACTAAAGAATTAGTACATTAGATTGATAAAATAGTCTTGAGTCCCTTTTACTGCCTAGTTTAGGCTCTTCTTATCTCTTGTTTGGATAAGCTTCTTACCTGGTTTCTCTGCCCACAACTTCTTCTCTTCACCTCATCCTTTACACAGCTGCCAGAATGTTTGTAAATCACAACTTTGCTCAGGTCCCTGTCCTCCTCAGGAAATTTTTTGCTGTGTTTTGTTTTTTGTTTTGCTGAGGAAGATTCGCTTTGAGCTAGCATCTATGCCAATCTTCCTCTATTTTGTATGTGGGTCATCACCACAGCATGGCCACCAATGAGTGGTATAGATCCATGCCAGGGAACTGAACCCAGGCCAACAAAAAAGAGCACACCGAACTTAACCACTAGGCCATGGGGTTGGCCCCTCCTCAGGAAATTTTAATGGCTTTCTCTTGGCTATAGGATAAAGTTCCAATGTCCTTGGGATAGCATTCAAGACCTTCCAAAGCCCAGCATCAGCCTACCTTTCCTACTTCAACACCTTAACTCTATCCATCCACCCCACATTCCAGGCTCAGCTGACCATTAGCTGAATATGCTATGCATTTTCAAGCCTCAGTATCAAGTTCATTCCATTTCTTCAACCTAGACTGTCCTTCTCCCCTTTCTTCATCTACCAAAGCCCAACTCATCCCCTAAGACCCAAACTGAGTTTTACATCTCTATAAAACCACCTCACAGATACTCAAGTAGAATTAATTATTCCTTTTCTGGGTTCCTATTGTACTATAAACCATTACTAAATACTTATTTTCTATGTATTTCTGTAATGGTTGGTTGTATAATGGTTGTCTTTGCTACTAGTCCAGAAGCTCTTTGAAAGCAGACAACAGGAATTTATCATTTGTCTGTGTTTCCTTCACAGTGGTGAGCCCAGGGTCTTGCACAGAGTAGACTGATAAAGAATGAATGAATGAATGAGTGAACGACAAAATGTAGTCAGTGAACCATCAGCAGTTTCTTAATCAATGCAGTGACACATCCAGAAGTTTATGAATTGGAACTCTTGGTTCAGCCCTTCAGAGCTGAGAGAGAAAATAAATGAGCTCAGCTGACAATAAACATTTTGCTCAAAATAAGGGAAAGTTGTCTCCTGTGAAGATAATGGCTCCTCCTCATGGCTGGGCCCCTTAAATACTTAACGAAAACAGGCTACTCTCCCCTCCTTTTGCCTCCCTTTGTATTATGGCTGCCCTTGGCCAATTTGCACAGTGCCCAGCACATGGGAGGTGCTTAATAAACACTTGCCAAAGCCCCTGCCTGGGCCTGAAGCCCAGTCAGCTGAGACTCTCAGACCAAGACGTTCCATATGGAGGGCTCGGGGTTTTCCGCAACAGGTCAGGATCCCAGTAACAGGCACCGACACAGCTACAACATGCCCAGGAGAGATGCTGGACAGAAATGAAGGAGTCAGGAAGGTTGTGGAGAGCACAGAGGAGACCAGGACGGGTGGGCAGCAGGTAGTAGAGGCAAACGATTCCTCTATGAGGGTTCATGGGCTGTGGAACCTTCCACTTGAAGGTTGACTCCTGTGTCTGGCTCCTGAGCACCCTCTGTGACCTCTGATGACTCCAAGTTAATGACTTGGATCCCAGCTCAAGCCAAGTCATCCTTTGCTAGAACCAAATGTATTCAAAGCCATGAGGAAAATTAAGTTTGTTTTCAACCACGCACCATAGCTTGGTGGTGTGAGCGAGCAAAAAGGGGGTTGAAGGGAAGCTTGGAGACAAGGAATGCCTTTATCTCCCTTACTGTGTCAACATATTGCGATGCTTTTAGCAATCTTAAAATCTGTGTGACATAAGAGAGGATTTCCAACAGGACAATGCCAAGTGAAATCATAATCATTATTAAGATCTGGATGGGCGGGGGATCCTCAACCACACGGTGCCATGGATGAGAAGCTTGGCCCCTCTTCCCAGTTAGCCTAATCTGAGTGTAAAAGAGAAAGGGTAAATCCTCTTCTGGATTGTAGAATTCTGGCCATAAGAAATTAAATTCACAAGAAATGAACACCCTATTCAACAGCCCCATTGCTCCCTGATAACGGAGGAGTGGCCACTCCTGCTTCCTCAAAACAGGCCTGGAAAAGAGATCCTCACAAGGCAGCAGAAAGGAAGACGCTTAACAGAAATAATGATCCAAGTATCTGGCTGCCTGTTTGGGGAAGCTCTCCAGGCTGTTTACCAACTCCCTGTCTCTCTTCCTCCCAAATACTGAAGAAAAACACAGTGGAATCCTGAAGCACATTTCAGAAAACCCCGTGCAAATTTCAGGACTAAAATCAGGGATAATCGGACCTATAGAAACAATCGAGTTACTAGGTTAACATAGATGCTGATACACAAGGACAGGAAATGCCATGGACAAGATCCGCAATGTAAAGGGAAAAAAAAAATAGGCCTCTCAAATATTTTGACTGATTTTCCCCCCAAAACCTTTCAGAGCTATAGTTATCTATGTAGATGAGTGTTCTCTCTCTCATTAAGGAAGACAAGTCATCTATAAAAATAACCATAGGAGGCAACAGGGGGAGGTGTGTTGTCTAAGATTTATATGTAATATGTGTTTGATGCACAAAAGAGGGAGAGACTTTCCTGGCTGGAGGAGTAGAGATGACTTTACAGCGGAAAGGAGGGTACACATGGACAGTGTCTTCAAGGATTTTTGACAAGCAGAGATGAGAGTGAAAGGCATTCAAGGAGAAGGGAGCAATGTGAATAAAGGCATAGAGGCAATTCAGTTTGGTTGATGGGTAAGATTTATGAGTTATAAGAATAGTGCAAAATTGGAATAGAAGGGTTAGCTGGGACCAAATCAGGAAGGCCTTGAGCGCAATAAGCCTTGAGTGCAGGAAGCTCAGTCTGCACTTAGTAAGCAATATGGAGTCATTGAATGGTTATGGGCAGTAATGTGATCCAAGTTATGATTTTTTTGATTGGTTGATTATTTTCCAGGTGAGAAGGCAGGAAACTAGACCAGGCAGGAGAGTGAGAAAGACAGACCATTTGGGAGACTATTGCAGTAGTCTGGTGAAAGGGGAAGACGGTTTAAACTAGTGAAATAGAAATATCTAATGATGCTGCTGCTGACATTGATGGTCTGGAATACCAAAGAAACCTTTAAAGGTAATTAAATCAAGCAAAACTGTCGATATGAGCATCTTAAATAGGTATGGCAGTGGAACTAAAATATTTTTGTAGTTCATGGGACTAAAAGGTAAAGTCCACAGTGACTGGCTTTCTGAAAGGCTGACATGGCTATTAATGGAAGGACCAAGTACCCACTCTCTGCTGGGAAAACAGTCATTCTGGAAGCCACAGGCCTAGAGTAGCGTCTCCATATATAAAATACAATAAATGCATTAATAAACATGACTAAATAAAGAAGTGTTCTAGAATTCATAAAAGGAGAGATATCAATTACATATAATATTTTTAAAAAACTAAAACCTCCCTAACAAAGAAAAACAAATAAAAAGATAACATTTCTTATTATCAACTTTTCAAAGATTTTTAAAACATTTTAATACTCAGGTCAGTAAGACTGCAGAGCCATTTGCCAATAGGTATCAAAAGTCTTAAAATTGTTCATACTCTTTGGCTCAATAATTCCATTTATTGGAAATCATGCTAAGGAACTAACCATTGATATTCACACATATTGCGTTTGTTTATATTATTGAAAATTCGAAGTAACCCAAAAGTCCATAATTGGAGATTTCTTAAATAATTTTCAGGCTATCCAGACAATGAAATACTGTGTAGCCATTTGAAAGTAGGCTGCAAAATATTATGTAGTGACTTGGAAATCAGTTCATTACATACTAATTGGAAAATTAGTGAGAAAAACAGAAAAGTGGAGCCAGCCTGGTGGCATAGTGGTTAAGTTCACACGCTCCTCTTCAGCAGCCTGGAGTTCACAGGTTTGGATCCTGGGCAAGAACATAGCACTGCTTGTCAAGCCATGCTATGGCAGCGTCCCACATAAAATAAAGGAAGATTGGCACAGATGTTAGCTCAGCAACAATCTTCCTCAAGCAAAGAAAAAAGGAGGAAGGTCAGCAACAGATATTAGCTCAGGGCCAATCTCTCTCACAGAAAAACAAATAGTATGTGAAATATAACATCATTTTTGAAAAATATATGACATAGGATTGAAAAACTATACCATATGCTAAAGTTAACCATACTTGTCTCTGAAGGATAAGGTAATGAGTGATAATTATTCCTTTTTTGTTTATCTTTTTCTACAAAGTGTCTATTACAAACATTTACTATTGTAATGAGAAAAAGGAGTATTTTAAAAACAGAACTGGTTAATGGGCCTCATCACTATAATTATTGTAGCAGATATTTGCTGAGACATACCATGGGTCAGGCGCTGATCTCAGTGATGGAAAAGCAGTCAATATCTCGCTCTCATGAGTCTTACAATTCAGAAGATTGCATTTTTATTGCTCAGTCAGCTAAAGTGGAGAAGATAAGTACCTTTATATCAAGACTCCTTCAGATGCGAATAACAACATCTCGTTCAAATTGGCTTCAGCTAAAAAGAAAATTCAAGAGTTCATGAAACTGAAGTCTATGCGTAACCAACTTCATACATGGCTAAATCATTTGGAATCTTCGGAACTTGATATCTCACGAAATTGCAGCCTACTTTTCTTTGTGATTGCACCATCATCAGTCAGGCTCTCCTGATGGTGTCAAGATGGCTGTCAACAACTCCAGACTTATAGCCAATGTCCTTAACAACCCTGACAGAAATATAGATACTGTCTTTCCAATAGTAAAAAAGAAAAAGGATTTAGTTCAGTTAGCTCTGACAGGATCGCGTGCCCATCCCTGAACCACTCACTGTGGCCTGAGGAACGTAATGCTCTGATTGGCCAATCCTAGGTCACATGGCCTCCCCTCAACAGGGACTAAAAGTGGAGAAGAGATTTTTACCAAGGAAAATCATAAGGCTGTTACCAAAAGAATAACGAATGGATGCCGAGATTGCAAAACAACTGAGATCTCCAGTATGGCCTTATGGCAGGAGCCCGGAGGCAAGATGAAAAAGTTGGAGTCCTGGCTTCAAAGTATGAAACTTAATCCAAAAAGCCAAGCTGCATTTTGACACTATACTTAATGTAAACAGATGATGTGAATGTCACCAGGCAAATTTACTTTTGGACTCAGATCCATCTAATTGCAGAAATATTTTGAAAACATACTTCTTTATGCGTATACTTTGCCATTTGAATTCTGATCTCATACACGCTACAGGTGAACAGAGAACCAACCATGTTAGAACTCTGGTCATTTGGCAGATGATGTGAGGGGGCCCAAGGGCTCACTGCTACTTAGCAGCAAGGCCAGGGTTGGAACTCCGACTTATCTCTTTATTCCCAGTGTTTCTGCTGCACCTTGAGGACTCTCTAGCGCGTGTAACTCTAGTCAACAGTAACTCTCCAGACTTTTAAGGTTTCACTGTGAATGAAGCACACTTAAAACTTTAATAGATCAGCTCTTAAACACCTCATTTTTGTCCTGGCTAAAGATTAAACATAGGCATAATCCATAGGCACAACCAACTAATTAGCAGCACATATCCCCCATTTATCCCCAAAGCTCATTTTAAGTAAGTTCTTCCTTTATTAATTATTTTTCATAAATATTTTAACATTTCAAAGCTCACACTTAATACTAAGAAAACAGACTTGCCAAATATATTCAAGGTAGAACATCTGTCCTTCTGTACCTACTTCCACCCTCTGCTCACCTTGTCTCTCTATAACTGGGAACAAGACTAATGTTCAATTCTAGGACTTGGGTACATGGAGGGTGCTGGGTTTGGGGGATAAGATCAAGATCTAGTTATTAGCATTAGGATGCAAGATCAGAACTGGTTCAATAGAAAGTCTGATTTGATGCTGAGTGAATGAGTCTAAGTCATGGCCCTTAATAGCTTCCTTTCCACCTGTGCACTTGGTCAAAGACCCTATAAGCAGCTGTGTCTACGATTCCACCGCTTAGGGACTTCCTCCAGGTTCCACCTCCCATTATTTACTTTGAACCCTATTGTTCTGATCTGGTTTCCCTGGTTCCTTCCTGTTTCCTTGAATCTGGATTTTCCCTCTTTGCCTTTTCCCTCTGGGTTGATTACTGGGTTGCCTGGGTTGACTCACTCCATCTTGGACCTTTAACAGTATGCCGTGCATCCCTTGGCCAGTCCTTCCTACCCTTCCCTGTACCTAGCCATGGCGATCCCAGGTGGGCTTGGAGCAGCCTGTGTCCGGTGGCCTGGCCCCTCACTTGTCTAGAGAGACTGGACGCTGAGACTTGGATGGAGCTCCTGGAGTCCCTTTAGCCTGAGATGAGGACTGACTCTAGGATGGGTCAGGGGACTCTGTGACAAATACTAACTGAGCACCTGCTATGTGCCAGATACTGCTCTAGGTGCTGGGGGTACAGCAGGGAGTGAAGTGAGGTCTGATCTTATGGAGTTTATATTTTAGATAGAGGGTGGGAAAAACAAGTACATAGACAAGTAGACAAAATAGTAACTACAAGTCATGTTAGGATTGTGCTATAATGAAAATGAAACAGAGTAACGTGAACAGATTCTGAGGTGGTCAGGGAAGACTTCTTGACTGACAAGAGACTCAGAAAGATTGGGAGGAAGAGAATTTTGAAGGAGAGGGAACAACAGATATAAAAGCATTGAGGGAAGAATGAGCTTGGTGTCTTCCAGGGATGGAAAAAAAGACTAGCAGGGCTGGAACCCAGAATCAAAGCCATAAGTGACAAATAAAGAACTTGCTTTAAACATGAAAGGGGGCTCAAAAAGTCAGCTTAAGAATATGCCAATTTTTCTTCCCCATTCGAGCAGAATTGCGACAGAAATACGATGCATATTTGTACGTGTTTGTGTGGACGCAAGTCTTATTGGCAGCTCTGGTAAATAAATGTAGGACCAGTTGGGGTCTCCTTGACGCCTATCATGACTGTGAACACAGCCTCTGATAACATTGTTTTGTCACTTTTCACTCCCACCAGCAATGAAGACAGATAAATGGCTTCCTGACAAATGGCTCCACTTTCCAGAGCCTGGGGCTCTGAAGGAAGGAGACGTGAGCCTTGGAACATTTCTCGGGGGGAGCTCCTTGAAGGGTTCACGGCCGTGAGCTCTCTGAGTCTGCTTCAGAAGGAACTGTTGCATTATTTCTTCTGAAAAATTAGATTTTGCTTGCAGCCCATTAAAATTTCAAAAGGCTTATGAAATGGATTCCAGACTAATTATGTGCCATTGAAATTTGCAACAGAAAATACCTGATCATAGAAATAAGAGATTTGAAGTGAAAAATACCTTATGTTTTGCTGTGTCTCACCACAGTGCCCTGGAAAAGGCAAAAACGTGTCCTTTCTAGGAGTGGATTCTCACCTAGGAAATAGTATTTCTGAGGATAACAGTTGCAGGGGGTTGAATAACGTCCTCCAAAAATTCATGTCCACCTAGAACTTCTGAATGGAAACAGGGTCTTTGCGGTTATAATTAGTTAAGATGAGACCATACTGGATCAGGGTAAGCCCTAAATGCAATGACTGGTGTCTTTATAAGAGAAAGGAGAGGGAGATTCAGACACGCACAGACTCACACTGGGAAGAAGGGCGTGTGAAGACAGGGGCAGAGATCAGAGTGATGCAGCTATAAGCCAAGGAACCCAAGGATTGCCAGTAAGCCCCAGAAGCCGGCAGAGGCAAGCAAGGATTCTTCCCCACAGCCTTCAGAGGGAAGAAGGCCCTGCTGACACCTTGATTTCAGACTTCCAGCCTCCAGATCTGTGAAAGAGTAAATTCCTGCTGTTTTAAGCCACTCAGTTTGTGGTAATTTGTTACTACAGCCCTAGTAAACTGATAGAACAGCCATGGGTGCCTTTGCCCTGGCACCAGAAAAGAGAGGGAAATGACCAGATGAAGGCAATCACCTGTATCTACCTAGCAAAGTAGAAAAAGGAGTAATTATTTGATGAGTTTGACCGGTGATAATTTGGGAATAGGGTCTTGAATTGTATAAGGGTTAAAAGTTGGGGTTTTGGCAATCTACAGATTAAATGTAATCCCAATCAGAATCCCAAAGACATTCTTCACAGAAATAGACCAAAGAATCCTAAAATTCATATGGGACGACAAAAAATTCAAATAGCTAAAGCAATCCTGAGAAAAAAGAGCACAGATGGAGGCATTGCAATCCCTGACTTCAAAATGTACTACAAAGCTGTAGTAATCAAAACAGCATGGGACTGGCATAGAAACAGGCACATAGATAATGGAACAGAGCTGAAAGCCCAGAAATAAAACCACACATCTATGGACAGGTAATCTTCGACAAAGGTGCCAAGAACAAACAATGGAGAAAGGAAAGTCTCTTCAATAAATGGTGTTGGGGAAACCGGACATGCAAAAGAATGAAGGTAGACCATTATCTCACATCATACACACACAAAAAAAACCTCAAAATGGATCAAAGACTTGAAGGTAAAACCAGAAACAATAAAACTTTTAGGAGAAAATATACATAGTACACTCTTTGACATCAATCTTAAAAGGATCTTTTTAAATACCATGTCTACTCGGACAAGGGAAACAAAAGAAAAAATAAACAAGTGGGACTTCATCAGACTAAAGAGCTTCTGGAAGGCAAAGGAAACCAGGATCAAGACAAAAAGACAAACCACCAATTGGGAGAAATATTTGCAAATGATATATGTGACAAGGGGTTAATCTCCATAATATATAAAGAACTCACAACTGAACAACAAAAAAGCAAACAAACTGGTCAAAAAATGGGCAGAGGAAATGAACAGACATTTTTTCAAAAAAGATATACAGATGGCCAATAGGCACATGAAAAGATGCTCAACATCACTAATCATCAGGGAAATGCAAATCAAAACTACACTAAGATATTACCTTATACCTGTCAAAATGGCTATAATCACCAAGACAAAAGCAACAAATGTTGGAGAGGATATGGGGAAAAGGGAACCCTCATACACTGCTGGTGGGAATGCAAACTGGTGCAGCCACTATGGAAAACAGTATGGAGATTTCTAAAAAAAACTAAAAATAGAAATACCATATGACCCAGCTATCCCACTACTGGCTATCTACCCAAAGAACTTGAAATCAAGAATACAAAGAAACTTATGCACCCCTATGTTCATTGCAGCATTATTGACAATAGCCAAGACATGGAAGAAACCCAAGTGCCCATCGACTAATGACTGGATAAGGAAAATGTGGTATATATATACAATGGAATATTACTCAGCCATAAAAAAGGCTTTTGCCTTTTCGTCCCATTTGCAACAATATGGATGGACCTTGAATGTATTACATTAAGCAAAATAAGCCAGACAGAGAAAGACAAACACCGTATGATTTCACTCATATGTGGAAGATAAAAACACACGGACAAAGCGAACAGTTGAGTGGTTACCAGAGGGAAGGGGACTGGGGGGGTTGGGGTGGGAACAAAGGGTGAAGGGGAGCACTTAT